GGAAGGGAACTCAAGAGGTCATTTCATCCATTCTCTGTCCCAGGGCAAGATCAAACATATCAATCTTGACAGATGTTTGTCTAGACTGTCTTTTTAAAAACTTCCAACTATGAGGAGGATTCTAAAACCTCCCCAGGCAGTCTATTGCAATGCACCACTATTATTACCTTTAAAAGGTTTTCCAGTAACTAATCTGAATGTCCTCACTGCAATACAAAGATAATGCTGCTTTCTGAATTACCATTGATATAGAAAATAAATTATTTCCTTTCTTTTACAGCCATTTCTTCAGAAGACTGATCAGAGATCCAGAAAATGCAACTAAATGTAAGGGCTATCCAAGACAAAACAATAAGAGATTTAAACATGTAAAAGTTCTAGTGATCCAAACTTTTCTATTTAACACTCAGGAACTAAAATTAGTCACAGTACTGCAGGTAAACAGCACAGTAGAAATATATTTTCCTGATTATTCATCTGTTCATACATTTCATGGCAATACTTTTGATAACTCATAGTAAACTTACAGTCCTTTGATGCAAACTACTACAAAGCCATTTGTTCCCTTTTTATATTCCTGCCTAATCATAATACCTTGAATATATGTTGGACCAGATACTTTTTTCTTCCAGACAATATTTAGCGAGACAATTTTGAAATCTTTCTTGTGCCTACTGTTTATAATCATCCTTCAGACAGCAAACATCTGCTCAGTCGCTTAATGCCTTGCACTTATTGAGGAAGGTTGAACCAAGGTATCTTTAGGTTTCTCAGAAGTTTCTCCTTAAATTATTCTAGAAATATCCTTTCTTGGATCCTCTTCCATTTAATACGTTGGTAATGTCTCATGACTTCAACATGATTGTTACTTGATTATCTACTCAGAAGCCACGCAGGCAATTGTTAATTCCTTGCTGACACAGGCTCACTCCCTTCGAAGTAAGTGGCAGTGAAATCAGGAACTTGACTCTTAAAAATCCAAAGTTACATCCCTGAAGTAACAATCTACCAACGAGCTACCTGTTCTATTTCTTCCAGGAATATACATTATCCAGGACAAAACAGATACTTACTGTAATCGATTACACTGAAAACCTTCAATTTTATCAACAGACATCCAGAAAGGCATGACAAGAGTTAAACGGTGAAAGCTAAAAAGAATTGGTTCAGTTTTGTTCTTTGTTTTTCAGAAAGTTTGATAATTAGTGTAGGGGCACAATGGGTGCGGAATTCATTTCTCAGTATCACACTCAAAAGCAAGCTGAATTCCTCTCTGTGCAAAACCAACCTCAAGCTACCTTGACAACAAGATACCAATAACCCTGTAATTTCAATTGTTCACTCTTTTTTTTTTATTATTTGTACTGCATCTCGGTGAAGTCTCATCTTCCCAGCCCAGTGCCATAGGCTAATAGTCTGTAACAAAACTCACCCTCAAAAAATGTCAGATGTAATGAAAAACAACTTCACAGATGAGAAAGTTGGCCTTCACTAAATCCTAAGGGCCCTAACTCCCAGATTCTGCAGGTTCTTCTCTTTCATTCTCCAGCCCATATTAAAAATGTTTGTGAAATTGAAAAATTCCTGCTTCTTTCTACTGAATCACTCATTACCCATCAAAGTATAACAGATTTTCAAAGAATGAAAATTCTATTGTCAGTTGAGGAAAAAAAAAATCCCCAGCAACAGAACCCAAAAACTGACCACAAGCCTTAATAATCTGCTGAGGAATACTGTACAGAATTAGTAGAAGGAGATTCAATCTGCCAGCCTGAATGGTTTGCCTTCTTATATGACACTGTTATACAATAGTGAAGGAAGTATAAAATACTACAGAACTGATTCTGTAACATTTTAGGCTGGTATAAATTAATTCCAAGGCACAAGGCCTTTAATTCTGTAAAGATCTGATGACCATTAGGAACCACAATGAAAGACTAAAAATGGAAAGAGGTGGGAAAGCTATCAAGTGACATAAGATCACACTCGCTTTAATTTTAAATGTCTATTGGTGTGTATTTGGACAGTACTGGCAACAAATATATAAGCAAATCTTAATATGTTAAATTAGGAAAAACAGGACTAATATTACAGAGCCGTCCATTAATTTCTTACCACAACTAACAAAGGCAGTATTTGTATCCATTTGACTCTGAACTTCACCACCAGTGCCCAATAAATAATGTCCAAGTCAGAAACAAATACTCTGATTGAATTCTGATGATTTGACTTGATAATCACCGGACCTCAATAAATACAAAATGAAGTTAACGCATTGCATCTAACCGATTTTTAGATGCTGAAGACCACATACAACTAATGCTGATCAGATTCAAACAAGCATCCTGGAAGCAGAGGTCAAAACACTAGCTCTTAGTTCAGAACTGATGTGAAATGGTGCCACTTACGAGAAGAACAGAGAAACTACCAACAGTATCACTGTATCTTTCTTAATGTATGGGAGTTGCCTCTTTTCTTTGGTATTAACCAACTGGTATAACTCTTTGATAAAAAAATATCACTGTAAAAGTGTATTAGCTTAGAGGCAGTTCTTTATGAAATGCTCAACCAACATCTCATTGATTTATGCCATAGTGTAACACAATGTACCATCTTTATTGAATAAATAATATAACACTGCTATGAATGTGAAGATTTTCCATGTTACATTTTCTATTTTGGCAGTTTGTTAAAGGTCAAGTCAATGCTTTATGCTGACTTTAGACCTCACCAAAAGACTTTTCAAAGCATTGCAGAGCTAAATCCACTGAATCTCACACATGGAGCAGTGAGTTAATTTTACAAGCCACATGGCACACAGCCAAGATCAGCTTTTGCCACTCTGAATGAAAAAATCCACATGTGCTTTTAGACCTTTTAAGAATTTCTTAAAATCTAAAAATAATATTTTCTATTCATAGTTTTTGTATGTGTATGTTTTTGTATGCTCTCACCTGAAGCAAAATGAATGGCTTGAGTCTGTAGAGCTCAACACTTTAAATGTTACATAACTCTGAAATCTCACATACGTAAGGCAAGCTAGTCATTTCTGAGTACCTCATCCTTATTTTGGTATTATGTAGGAGCAGAACAATTCTGAAATTGAGTTGTATCTACCTATCTTGTAAGCTTGAAACTACCTCCAGTATCTCTTTAGATAGTCTTAGAAGCATAAAATGCCTCCAATAATACATGCAACAATTTTTATTAAGAGTAAAAAAAAATAGATCTCAGAAGGTCATTCTGGGTTTCAATAGGAGATTATTTAATATATTTTATTAGCTAAGATGTGGGTCTGCCACTGCTGCATACAGCATTTGAGATGTCATTCAAAAATGATATAATTGCTCCTATCTAAGTATTTGGAATATTTGGGTCTGTGATTAAATACCAAGTCCTAATTCTTACAGTCTTTTATCCACTATGTATGTAGAGAACTATGTAGAGAACTTTCATTTTCATTTCAGTTCAATAAATTATTTTCTGTATACAATCTAAAAAATAAAATTAAGGAAAAAATCATGCTAATTTGCTCTTGGCTTTTTCCCTGTCTAGCCTAAACACTGAAAATGTCAAGTTTGCTCACTAATTAAACATGTCTGTCTTAGACTGCACTTGTATCTTTCATCATAATGGTGCAGAGTCCCAGGGAGACATTATACATTCATGTTTTCAAATATAAGATGTAAAAAAATACAAATATAAATTTAATGGAGCAATCTCTTAATGAGATAAGCAATTATGGCATGGGAGAAATGAAGGAATTAGCCTCCTGAAAAGTTCTCAGTATTTATGGGCCTGGGGCTTCAGAGTCTGGTTAAAACACATTTTTTACAATCCTCTAAAAAGAAGACGAAGGAAATGTGAGTTATTTGTGGAAGTCAGGGAAAATACACTAAAAAATGAAGTGCTAAACTGCACAGTGTGCATGAAATTTATAATATAAATCACAAATACGGCATTTGCAAGACTGGGATTGAAATTGTAAAGGAAAAGATTTCTTACTGTATTTTGGCTCATCTGCATCCACTTAGAAACCATACTAAAACAACAAACAAGTAACAAAACTAACAAAATCTGCTAACCATAAAGACATGCATTAACAATCCAAAACTGTAGCAAAAGAAGCATTTTCTAACAATCGAGTTCTAACAGTGGCTGAAGCTTCCCGCTGCTCAAGCAACTAAGTGCTGTCCTACTGGAATTCTTTTACTGATTATGTTTTTTTTTTTTTTTTTTTTTCTAATTTCTTCGAGAAAAGACAAATTGAACTTTCAGTTTTAGAATAATCAGTGAGGTTCTGCTTTATAAATAAGTCCCAAAAGTTTGGTATTCCAATACAGAATAGAAATTAAGTTTCAGAACCTTGAAAGCAGAGTTATGTAATTACAAGGTGACATACAGCCAGATTATTAATATTACAGAAAAACAAAGAATTTTGCAAGGAGTCATGAGAGGCAACACAGGAGACAATTATGTCCCATATTCATAGAGACTTTTGGAATTAAGCTTGATTTTGATCTTGTTTATACAGTCTGTTCCACCTGATTTCATAGCAGCGAACCAGTGGAACACGTTGCCCACATTGGTGGTGAATGCCCCTTCCCTGGACACATAAAAGGCCAAGCTGGATGGGGCTTTGAGAAACCTAGTCGAGCTGTAGGTGTTCCCATTCATCACAGAGTAGTTGAACTAGAAAACTTTTACAGCTTCCTTCCAATTCAAACAATTCCATGATGATTTTATGAAATATAAATGGATCTTAGTGGGATTGGAATAATGTGCTTGATTTTAGAAACACAGTAAACTATCAGAAATGGAGACCTATTTTCCTATGCACCAGATAACATACAGACCAAGAAGTTGCCATTTTTGCTTTGTTTGCTGTGTTAGAGGGACAATGATGTAAACACTTCACAAGAACTATTTACAGTGGCAAAGTAATTCTGAATTAATTAGTAGGATATTTAATTGAACCATATAGGCAGAAGAATAAATACCTCTTTGGTTGTATTCCCTGGGGTTTCCTGACAGTTCATTAATGCAAAGGTGCAATCTGCAAGGAAATATAATACATTCTGTTTCAGTATCTTGTCATATCAACTGCTTCTGTTTTCATAAACAGAAAGTTGGCTGCATTTTTCTAAACACATAGCTAAATGTGGAAGCTGCTAAAATAATCTCTTCCAACACAACAAAGCTTTTGTTGATCAATTCCACTGACACTGAAGAAAATCAATAGGGAAGCTTTTCAGAAATCACCAAAATTCCGTTTTCAGAAAGAATTTGTGCACTTAGAGGATTGCATTTCAGTGCAAGTTATTGGGACAACAGCTCCTAAAACACACATGCTTTTCAAGAGCATATGTTCATGTCTTCCTCTCGGCCTTTCAAAAATATTTACCTTTTGAAGCAAAATTTAGAATGCTTACTTAGGCTGGGAGAGAATTCAGTAGTCCTGACATTTTTTTTTTTCTTTTATGCTACCACTGAAGGAAATGAAACTCTAAAGGAAGCAACCAAGCAATGGTAATGGTACTATTGCTCCTCCAACCATCAACAAAATCTACTCTACCATTTTATCCTATAATATGGATTCCTCAGATTCCACTGGAAAACAAAACAAAACCACCACCCACATTAGCAGAAGGTTAGCAAAATTGGCAGAAACACTAGCTTGTTCTATGCGTTCAAGTACAGGTCTGTTTGAAAGCAACACAGAACTCAACACTAATTTCTTGGGTCATGATTTCACCTACCAGATCTTATGAACATTCCCTCTGCTCAAAACAAATGTTTCCCCCTGAAGCATGCAGGCATATATACCCGTGTAACCATGTTCAAGTAGTTCTAGGTAACTAGAGTTTTCAGGTCAAATATATTCTTCAATCTTTCCTACAATCTGCATCTCTGGCAAAAGTTGCACAGCCAACACAAAAAACATAAAGACAAGATTTTTTTTATAAGCAGACAATTTAAAAGTAAAAAATAATTTCATATCCAAGAGTCAAAAGCACGAAGTGAACAAGATAAAGAATTGCAGAGTTCCCACTCCTCTCTAAGTAGAGATTATTGGTTTAAACAAACAAAACAGATATGACAGACAGAATGGGGTTTACCACAAACGTGCATTTTAACAGCATGCAAAATGGACACATTTCTTATTTATAGATAGTTAAAGCAATTTTGATTGAACTGTACTGTTTAAACGCTTTTGATAAATTGCATTTGAAACATGATTCCTTTAGTTTCATACTACAAGAAATTAAAACAGGCATTCAAGAGTAGTAGCAGAAATCTTATACAAAATATAATGACTTTTCAGGCAAAGCTAGGTCCACTGTCTGCACTGTACTTGCCAAAAATTATCCCTTTGGAAACTACATACATTCTGACCAGGAATAAAACTATTTGGCATACAACGTATGATGTGGGTATTACAGTATTTTTTTCAGTAGAGCTCCTCTAATTTGGATTGTTGCTAAGTATTAACCCATGAACATCATCTTCAATAATACTTTTTTACCCAAGAAAAACTATTTCGTTTCTCCCTTTCTCTTTTCCCTTCTTTAAATCTCCTTGACTTGGTTTAATGAAGAATCACCTACCAGATCAGCACACAGCACCAGATAGTAATTTCACATTTTTCCAAATCATCTCATATTTATTCTACAATTCACTGCAGTTTTGCTCCTGTAGATTCACTGACGGTTTCTGATTGTGATAATTAAACTACTCCTTAATCCCTGTTTCTGACAGCGGCCTCATCTTCACCACCTTCTTCATAAACTCACACTTAATTTTTCCTCCCAAACTGAGCATCTCTGAGATCAGCAAGGCTGTTGTCCAAATTCTCACAGTGCTTTAATCGTGATCATGTGGTTAGCCATTGAAGCTACCCTTTCAGAGCTCTACCTATTCAGTTCATTTTCTTTCAAATCCTTTCCAGAGTGGCTTACCTCATGCTGACATGCAACACTAAAGAAATTGTTCAGTAATTCGTACATTCCTTCCAGCCACCTTTCTTTTGTACTGTGTCAATCTCACACAATTGCTAGGTCACTGTCCAGTTTCTCACCCTGCATCCAAATTCATTCTGAGTTCTGCAAGCGTATCATTCATATCTGAAAGGATTATTTTTGACACTTTCAGTGGGAGATGTTACTTCAGATTTTCATGGAGATGATTTTCTTTCACCTGCACAATGAATATTATTTAACTATGTTTTATGCCCTTCAAAGTATTTTTCCTTGCATGAATCACATGCTTGTCTTCTCTCAGGACTTCTCTAGTTTCTGATTTAATAACCTTGGCTGGCAGTGCAAAATCTCCTATCAATAATATTCTTCAGACATTCTCTCCTGAAATATTACTTCTAATTCTATCTTGCTCTCTTGATTTCATATGTTCAATTCCAGGTTTATTTAGTTTTTTTCTTTGGACTTCATTTCCATCCCTGATAATCAGAATCACTTTGAGAATCATCTTCTTTCTTGATCCAGTTCCTCACTGCCTACATTCTCATCTATGCCTATGAGAGTTACCGTAGCAACTTAACAATAAGCTCTTGCCCCTCTTTAGCATCAGCAGTGCTCAGAAATTAAAACTGTCATCAGCTGTATCTGTTCTGATAGTATTTGAGTAAAATTTCCGTGAAACTTGGACTCCTTCATTTTCAATTCAAAACACATAATATGTATTTTGCTCCAAAAGTTATGCCTCCTATTTATTTTTATGGAAACTACAACAGACACAAACAGCAGAACAACACTTTAATAGAGCACATTCTCAGATACAAAACACTATTTTTTCAACATAGTCACCACCATTAGCTATGCATTTTTGCTAGCAATGAACAAGAGCCTGCATGCTGTACTTGTAAAGGTTTGCAGCAGAGGAGGTGACCCACTGTTGCTGTCACCACTGCTGAAACGCAGCACCCACTGCCTCACTGTGCTCACATCCAAAGTTTGGTCTCTACAAACATTCAGCAAGCGTTGATGAATGTCAGTGGGCGCCATTTTTTCCACATGGAGGAACTCAATGACACACCTTTGCTTCACAGGCATTCCCATGTCAGATGCCATTCTGTCAGACTGCCCTGCAGCTGCCATCTCACACAGCAACAAAATGTAATGGAGTACTGGTGGGAAGGTTCAATCTTTACTGCCTTACCACCAGTATCAGCCTCTGATGTTCTGATATAATAAAACAGGAGGCATTACTTTCAGAACTGTCCTCATAGTTGGATAGTCTCTAGACAGGTTTGTTTAAAGAAGCAGTAGTGTTTTAGTATTGACAAGATAAAGCTTTATAGTATTCTATTGCTGCAATAAACTTGTAAACATTAAACAATGAGCATGATGTGCCTGAGCTACTTGCAAGTAGATTTAGGTCAGCTACTTTATGATACCTGACTCAGCTACTTCTGATGAACTGACCAGACAGAATGCCCACACTGCGAGGAGAGCGCTTTCAGTAGACTGAGCAGAGTAAGTAGACACAGACTGATCTTTCCCTTCCCAATCTCTGTGTCACTAACCTAGTTTGAAGTGATGTGACAGCACTGGAGAAAAACTAAAACCTGAATAAGAATTTTGTCTTTTTTCTTGCATCTCAGTGTGATTCAAACCAGCAGATATATTATGCCTAGGTGTAACTGTATTTATGTAAGATACATAAAACACACTGAAAACACACTGGAAATGGAAATGGACAGTTAGAAAATATTTCATACAGGATACTGTCTTAAAAAAAAAACAAACAAACAAAAAAAAAAACACCCACAAAAACAAATTTAAAAAAAAAAACAACAAACCTTTTCATCAGCTAACGAGGGTTGAAACAGCTTTTAGATGTATTATTTCATCTTAGAAGTGATGTAAAATTGCACAACAGTGAGAGATAGAAAATTAAGTGCAAGAAAATGACATGAACAGTTGGCACAGTTGATTTATCTTAAAAAAGAAAAATCAATACATGTTTTATATTTAAGTTATATACCCACTGATGTAGATGGGTTGTTTTCGTTTTATAATGAGATTGCAAAGTCAAAGTCTATTCTTAGAAGAGATTAGAATCCTTTTCTAACACATTTTTAGGCACCGACAAGCAGAAATCACCAGTACCAAAAAATGCAAAACACCAGTACTATCTTATCAAAGTTCTCTTCCCTATCCCATCAACAGGTATTTTATTTCATACACTGAGCAATTCATCATGAATTAGACCTCAGGGCAGATTTAAAAAAAATATTTAGGCACCCACCACTTCTTCATGTGTGTTTTCATATAGCCATCTAGTAAATAATTTTCTTTACATAACAATTTTCTCCTGTGTGAAGTTACAGGAACCATTCTGTAGAACTTAGAATACTAAAAACCCCTGTAAAATTTGATTAAGCAGCAGCTTTTTGGAACTAAAGCCTTTCTTTACACAGACATATTAAGATGCTGTAAAGTTCTAACTAAAGTGTATGTATACATGATATATATACTCCATTTATAGTATATACAGACCATTCATCAGCTACGCTACCAAACCTAATTAAATGGCCTTGTTTGCATTTACGTAAAGAAATACGTTTTTGTGGTGCTTTTTCTTTGTTTCCCAAAGGAAAAGTAAGAATAATACTGTTTGTTAACCAGATTAGAAAGAGATGAAAAAGAAGTACCTTGGATAATTTGAATAAAACATATCTAAAACTTTACTATTGAAAAGCAAAGGAAAAAAAACTTGTTCAATTGAATTATCAAGAAGTTACCTTCTTGATTACCTTCAAAAATGACAATTACAAACAATTAAACTATTGAGAAGAAATATACAAATTATTGCACAGGGCTATAGAGATATAGGCATGCAGCGTGCTGCAAATTAAAGTCGTTTATTAAGTACAACTGGAAACAATATGTAAGAACAACTGCTTAGTCAACAAAAATGAGTCAAATTTTTTGTTGGGGATAAAAGAATTCAATGGGATAGTTTGCAGTGTGTTAACCAAGTATTTGCTGTTGTCAAAATAGAAAATAATACAAATATGACCTAAACACAGCCACT